GCCAAAGATGTACAATGGTCCACACTGAGGTCTTTCATCACCTGTTTGAAAAGATTGCTTGTAAAATTGGTGCCCTGATCGGATTGGATCTCTTTAGGAATGCCCACTGAAGTGAAAAGGTGCAAAAGAGGTTTGATTACATTTTTTGAAGTGATGCTTTTAAGGGGAAAAGCCTCAGGATAACGTGTACTGGTATCCATAACTGTGAGCAGGAATTGATTTCCCTTCTTAGTCTTTGGTAATGGGCCCACACAATCCACAACAATCTTTTCAAATGGTGTAGAAAATACTGGGATGGGCTTAATGGGAGCTGCTGGCATACTTTCATTTGGTTTTCCTACCATTTGAAAAATATGAAAAGATTTTAGGTACTTTGACACATCCTTCATAAGTCCAGGCCAGTAATAGTGTTGGAGGAGCTTTTTATGTTTTCAGGATTCCCAAATGTCCTGAAATACCATCATGGGCAAGGGCAATTAATGCTGGTCTGACTGAGGAGGGAATTACCACTTGATGTATTTCAGACCACGTGTCTAGATGGGCAAGCTCAGGGGGTCTATAGGCCCTTATCAAAACCCCTTCCTGATAATAAAAACAAGGAAGGGTGTTAAAATCTTTACCCTCAACTGCCGCATGATGAAGTTTATTCAAAGATGGATCAGATTGTTGGGCTTTAATGAGCTCATCCTTACTAATGGTCTTATTGTACAGATCTTTTGTGGGTAGGAAGATATTGGAGGTGGTTTTAGATGAAGAGGGCCCATTTCGCACATCAAGATCAAAGGTTTTCAAAGCATTTTTAACCTTGGGCCACTGACAATAAGGAATAGCCCAAGTTTGAATGTAAATGGAAGTGTTTATTGTATTCCATGTAGCAAATGTAATTGTAATTATGTAGGTCAGACAGGAAAAACATTGCAGCTCAGAATCAAACAACATAAGTATAATATCAGAACTGCATCTGAAAGCAGTGCCTTTTTCGTTCATGTTAGGAATAATAATCACCTCATTGCTTGGGAAAAAAGCTTAGAAGTATTCAAATCATCTTGTGTCACAGAAAGACTTCTGGTTGAAGCTAGTTTGATTAAGGAATTAAAATCAATAAACCTTAGTGATGGTCAGTTCAAAACTGATAATATGTTACATAAATTTATTTGTCAGTGGCCCAAGGTTAAAAATGCTTTGAAAACCTTTGATCTTGATGTATGATAGTTATTTTGTGGGTCCCTTTTTTCTGACCTGACCTGTCTAGTCACGTCATCACCCTTCTCTTAAGCTCCTCTACGTGTGTGTTGGTGTGGGGATTAGTGGATGTCATCATTATGACCTGACCTCATGTTTTTAGGTCACCCTGTATATTTAAGCCTCTCTCTGTCCATGTAATCCAGTTGCCTCTGAAGATGTCTTGAATAAAGACGAAAGCTAAGGTACTCCGTTGTTTCCATTTTCCCGTGTGATTTTATCAAGATTTATCTTATCCACGTTTTCATTGTGGATTTACATGAAATATATATATATATATATATATATATATATATATATATATATATATATATATATATATATATATATATATATATATATATATATCAATCAGACCATACAGCACGTGGACTTCCGTATACAAACAATACCTCAGTAGTTGGGAATTGAACCCTGGACCTCTGAGTGTGAACAGTGATCGCTACCACCGTGCCACAAGCACAACAAAAGCAATCCTAGACATTGTTTTATTTCATATAAAGCCTGTTCATTTGTCTTTATTAAGCAACGTGAACCTCCATTGGGGATTGCCCAATGCCAACTATGTGGTCGGAGTAGCATTTTTCCGGATCCAGCTAGGAAATACGAGGGTACATATATATTTTATCATAACACGTGGACTTGCATAAACAAACAATACAAAGCTTTTTTGTCTTTGTGGCGCAGTGTTAGCAATCCCTGTTTGTACGCAGAGGTTCAGGGTTCGATTCCCGACTTGTGAGGTATTGTTTGTATATATACATATTTGGAACGCTTTTCAGTCACAAAATAAATCTTATCTGGATTGTCATTTGGTCAGCTAGGCTTAACGAGAATAATCTAATTATGTATTTAACCTAAAGTCAACATGCCTGATCACTGAGCTCCATTTATCTACACTTCCACCACTCTTCGCTAATACCTGTGTACTTGGGGTGCAGAACATTTAGGATTTTTGGCCTTTGCCCATCGCAGTGTTTTGCAACTTCTGCATTTTTTTTTATTGGGCACCCCCTACATCCTTTTGTAAGGTGAAGCGCAGAAGCGTTTACAGCCCCCAACAGGGAAGCATGCTAAGTTCATGCTTGCCTTTATGTCTCATGAGTTAAGGGCGTAGAAGCCTGAAGAGTGAAGGGCGTAGAAGAGTCAATGGTTTTATGTCATCAAGTTATTGGAAGCTCCAACAACTCCCTGAATACGAATTTGCAATTTTCGACTTACAACAGGCACCTACTTTACTGATAGGTGAATAGGGACCAATGGGGGCTAGGAAGTATGTCCAAACAACTTCCACCGGCCCGGGAATCGAACCCGTAACATCTTGCTTGCGAGGCAAGAGCGATACCGCTTCTTCTACATTGACATGTCAGCATTTCCGTGCTGCTGTCTTGGAAGGGGTGTGTTTCCCTTCATCGTCAAGAGTCCATCCATAGTCGCTGGGCAAATGAAGGTTGGGTTGTGGAGGGTTTGCATGTTTCCAAATTATGCTCTGGTAGTGTGGCTGCATTCTGTGGTATTTCAGGGCATAACTCGCTGGCACTTTCTTCACTGTGGAGAAAAGTAGACATCGAGCCTGTTTTCTTGTGTGAGAACGTCTTTGCCTTTGCCACAGAGGTCATGCTTTTTTTTTTCTTTTTTTTTTTACGCCTCTCACAATGTTTCTTTTTATTACCAACTATGAATAATGTCATGTTGCACACAGTTAAGTACATGGGACGGACGGACGGACCTAACCTAACCTAGCTGAAGCTGAGAATGCACCCATCTTACTGGAATGAATTTCGGTTTCTTGTTTGTATCTGCTCCGACCCAGAGGTCACGACAGCCCATCTCTTTAACGTGTATAGTTAATAGTAGGAGGAAGTCTGCTTCCTCGTGTGTGCCTTCCAGGTCATCAAATGTACCACCAACTGTGACAGTCTTGTCGGCGGAACCAGGTTTATCATTTCCTTGGATAGAACAACGCCATGTCTGCTTTCCTGTCTGATAAGACTGTGAAGTTTGCCAAGTTGAATGGTTTTGGTACGTCGCAGTTTTCAATAATGCAGTGAATTAACCCATTGCCATTACTTGTGTTTGGCCACCCATGAGACAAGGTGTACCTTGCGGAGTAATTGTTGCCAGACAGTCGATGTCAAAAGTTAAACATTAAGCAAGAATAGTTTTAGAACCAGCCCTTAGGGATCAATTTGTCTCGGCAAGTGAAACTGGAATTGGCATCAGTTCGTGTTGAAGAATAGCGGTTGCGTCAACTTCTTCGCCAGCTGCTTATATGCAGCTATCAGGCGTTGTAGGATGTTCAGGTCAACCTTCATGAATTGTATGTTTGTATTCGCTCTTAATATCTAATATACTATAGGACTAGGCATGTGTGTGTGTGTGTCTGTTCTGGGCAGCCGAAACGGCACAATCATTTTTCATCAAACTTGGTGGAAAAATCGCAAAAAAATCGTAGAGTGGAACAAACCTGGTCCCATGTCGATGGTTTCTTTAGGAAGGCATTCGTTAACAATTTTATTTACGATGGAAAACGATGCAAGTCTTGGCGCACCCTAATTAACCATGCAAGTCTACGGACTTGGCACACCCCCATTCGCTATTCGCTGACACGAGCGTTCAAACTCTCACAAGGGCACGAACGTGCCCGCGTTCACTTTTAATATACTGTAGGTTGTCAAATGTTGGAGCCTTATTCTTTCTGATCTTATCATGAAAGGATTTCATAGTAGTGATCCCATATCTTCTATCGATTTAGTTAGACTCTGATTGACGAAATTATCTAACTGTTCCTCAATCTAGCTTTCTACTGTATCTTCAAATAAGACAGAATGAGACAGATTTTGTCCTTCAGTCGGATCATCACTGTATAGGTGTGAATATATCGTTACTTATTGTTGATTTTGATATCATGTTTTAAATAATGATTTTGGACATGTAAACATGCAAATAAAGAATACCGTATTTTCTGGTATCTAACAGATTCGTATTCAGTACCCTCAAATTATTCTAAGGCCACTTGTAACAAAAAAAAGGCCCAGGGAACTTTTTCTAGGGCTTTTTCCGTCTCAATATTCCACTTGTTCTAGTTGACACCCACCAAGCTTTTTCCAAGGGAATAACTGGGTGAAACATGTTTGGACAATTCTGTATCATTATTATTTTATATTTCTTATTTATGTATTATTTTTCTTAAATATATTGTTGTGAAGGAGAGACACTCAAGTAAAGACAACAAAATAATTATTAGATTTTAGGGAATAAAAGTTGCCAGATATCTTAACCGACGAAATTTAATTTGTTTTGTGCTATTATCGTAATTTAACGAATGAATGTCACATTTCCATAGTTATCTTCTACCTTTTTTAGGAAGTATAATCTTGTTCCCATCTTTGAATGAGAGGCAAACAGGTGAAACTAATCTTATTCGTCGAGGCTTTTATTTTCAAACATAGCATGTTGGGAGAAGGTATTCTGCTGCTCAAAGTCATTTTCCAATTGTTGAAAGTTAATGTGAGTTCAGCGAGAGCAGATGAGAAGGCTTACTACAAAACTTCTCTCCTACGCTCCAGTTACACAAAACAGAACTTCAACATCAAATGTTTTAAATCTGTAGCCCATACAGCATATACAACACCTGTAAGAAATATAATTACCCCTATTATACAGATATATTGTTATTTATGTGTATTTCTGTCTAATTTATGATGTACTTCAACAAATAATTATAGACTAAACATCTCTGGATTCTTGGAACACAGGAGCAGACAAGAGACTGAAAACTGATGACTATTCAGTGGATGAAACTGCTGGTTCTGCTGGCTATAGTTCCTCAAGGTGTGTATTTGTCCTTGATTTTTTCTTTCATGTAATTCTATTTAACTCACCTATTTTCACATGCAATACTGTACTACAAAAAGCTAAAAAGAAAATCTTTCCTTATATACAGTATAAAGCCGCTGAATTGGTTCTTGACTCTTATTTTCCCATTAAGAGCCTGTAAGACGTCCGTCCTTCAGTGGTTGCTTTCCTCCGGCTTGTATCTCCTATGTTCCACTTGAACACTTTCTTCCGCTGTTTTTTTGTGTGTGTGTGTACTTACAGTATTGCCTGTTATTCTAATTCCTGCCAACTGCTAGTATAGCCTCTTAGTCTTTGATAGCACCCCTTACATAGTACAAAATCTGATAATTTCTTTCTTTTATTATCCTTAAGAATTAAACCATGTGCAGGTTTAATAATATTGCTATTGAGATGGTTAGGTTTGGTATGTAGTTCTTGTAGGATATATATCATAGTCACAGACAATTATTTTGATCTTAAGTTTCTTTTTCGTGTTTTATTCTTTCCAAAGAAAAGACGAATAAAAGTTCTCACTTACAGCTCACGCTTATGCTCTGGTTATTATACCTCCTAGGTGTAATGGTGTACCAGCACAATGGTCTATAATAATTAATCTCTTACTATTATTACTATTACTGCTACTACTATTATTATTGTTACCTTTTTGTGACTACTATCGTCATTCTATTATTATTATTATTATTATTATTATTATTATTATTATTATTATTAATAATAATATTATTATTGGTAGTAGTAGGCGGCGAAGGTGTGGCTATTGGGGGAGGAAGGAGGCCACGTTTAAAAAAAAGTAGAATTAATAGTAGTGTTTCATTATCACGTTTATTATCATTTCTACTACTACTATTATTATTATTTCTAATATTATTGCCAGTATAATCAGTACAATCAGTAAGAGGTTTATATTCCAGTCCAATGGTTGTTGGAACTGTGTTGTTCAGTGTTGGGTTTGTTCTCTGTACTTGAAGCAGGTGCAGCTCATGGGAAGTTCGAACCGAGTCATAGTGTGGGTGTGACCAGCCATACGATTGTATGGCTGGTCACTTGGCTCCCTTCCTCTGACCCAGTTGATCATCTGCTACCTCTTTTTATTCATGGTCACGTTGGTGTGAACTGCTGCACTCCTAGCCTTGTATGACAGCACGCCAGCTAGGCCACTGTCAGCCCTAGCCTCTGTGCTGTTCCTCCTGGGTCCAATACCAAGTACCTGTGCCGATTAGATGGATACTTGATCTCCTGTGAAGTTATTGAGAAGACGCCAATTTACCATCTGTGCCGTGTGTACTATATATACAAGACATTTGTTCCGGCAAGCAGTCGGCACTTCCATACCACATATGTTTATGTTGCTCTGTACTGTCTTCATGATAATTATCAGTGTAGATACTTGTAAACAGACAAGTTTTGCTACAAATATCTAGAATCTTGTTCAATATCCTGTGTTGATTATTGTATCAAAGGAGGGAACCAAGCAAAGCTTTTCCATATTAATATGTTGAAGAAGTATGTAAGACGGGTGGAGAATGATCCCCCTAAAACGGAAAAGCGTCAACTGTGTATAGTAGATGATGTAGGGACCAAACAGAGATCTGTTTGTGTCATTGTGCTCATTGGTGAATCTTCAGACTTTTATTTGAATGTAAATCCGAAGTTAAGTGAGGAATAGGTAGATGAGCTAACTAACCTAATGACTGAATTTATTGATGTTTCCTCAAATGTTCCAGACAAAACACAAACTGTCATTCAGGATATTAAGTTAACTACTGACATGGCTATACACAAGAAACCATATCCTATCTCTTATAATTTGCTAAAAGCCTTTGATGAGGAAGTAGACAGAATGTTAGAATTAGTTGTGATAGAAACATCTGACTTTCACTATTGTTCACCAGTTGTTCTTGTTAAAAAGGGAGACAACAGCTTAAGAGTTTGCACAGATTTTAGACGTCTAAATGACGTGAGTCTGTTTGATGCAGAGCCTATGTCTACTATTGACGAGTCTTTGGGAAATTTTGTATATTATAAATATTTCACCGAGATAGACATATGTGAAGGTTACTGGAACGTAGAATTGTAGGATAACTCTAAAGTCTGTGCAGCTTTTGCTACTCATCGTGGTCTGATGTAATTTCGGCATATACCCTTTGGATTAAAAACTGTTTGTGCTACCTTCATAAGACTGATGAGAAAGGTGATTATTCGATTGAAGAACACTGAATATTATTTTGACAATGTTTTAGTTTATAATTCAAATTTGAATGAACACTTGCAAGATCTCAAAGAGTTATGTGAGAGGTTAATTATTTGGGATTTTCCCTTGGGAACAATCAACTCTCCCTGCGAGAGGATAAAATAAATGCTGTAATCAACATGCCTCTACTAAGCCACAAGAAACAGCTTAGATAATTTTTGGGTTCAGCATCATTCTATAGAAAACTTATTTCAAAATTAAGCAGATATAGTACACCAATGAATAGTATGCCAAAGAAATATAGTAGTAATGTACTAGATTGGGGCTCAGAACAGATTGACAGTTTTAATGTTTTAAAGGACAAACTGTCAGGTAACTAATTTTATCTTTGCCTGATTATACTAAAGATTTCTACCTCAGAACAGATGCCTCAGATACAGGTTTAGCTGCTGTATTACTACAGATGGTTGAAGGAATTCTTATGTCAGTGTTTGGGCAATTGATAAGTATAAAAACTACTTGTCTGGAAGAGAATTTGTCCTTCAGATTGATCAACAACCTCTAAAATATTTGAAAAAAAAACATGAAAAACCACAATGGTAGACTGATGAGGTGGTTTTTAGCTTTTCAAGCTTACGCCTTCAGAATTGAGTATATAAATGGCATTGATAACATTAGTGCTTATTTTCTTAGTCGATGTTCATTACCTTCCTAGGACAAGCCACATTGAACTGAAATTTTCTAAAATTCCTAAAATTTTAGCTTATTCGGGGAGCATTGAAAAGGGTTTGTATTCCAGTCCAATGATTGTTGGAACTGTGTTGTTCAGTGTTGGGTTTGTTCTCTGTACCTGAAGCAGGTGGAGCTCATGGGTAGTTCGAACCGAGTCATAGTGTGGGGGGTGTAACCGTATGGCTGGTCACTTTGCTCCCTTCCTTTGACCCAGCTGGTCATCTGCTACCTCTTTTTATTCATGGCTACTGTCGCGATCCCACTACCCTTTATACCTGGGGAGTGAAACCTACCCCAAGTTATTCACAAATAAAGGAACAAATAGGGAACACGGCAATAATTATCCCCACAAAAACCTACTCAACTAAATGTACTTGAATAAGTATGAACAAGTTGAAATAATTAAGTCACAAAAGGGAAGATAATTAATTAATTCAATTTATGTTCTAAAGGGAGTAATGACTAGCAAACATGAATTTAAGGGTATAAGTAATTGTATATTAAAATAAGAGTGATGCCGGAAGGGTGAAAATATACCGTAAGGAGTTAGACCAAACGAATATTACTTAACATAACTATATTACACAGACATACAAAATATATATATATATATACAACAATCACTACAAAATGATTATTTCCTACCAAACAGGAGATTCCTTACCACCAGGATCCCTTCCTTGGCCTAACTAAACGTGTCACTAATACCTGTTACCCCTAGGGCATTGCAGAAGACTGGACAAGGCACTAGACAAGGGTCAAGGCTAGAGAACGAATGGACACGTCTACCCTATGCCACGGTTTTTCGCTACTGGGGATGCGTGGGGCACGCCGAGGAGCGCCTCTCATATCACGCGATCCAGGACATTTGCTGGATAGTTTATATAATTAATTAATACTACTCTTGATTGGACTTAACAGAGTGAGACAATGATGCATATTAATAACATACATAAATATACAATTAACCTAAGTAACTAAGAACAATAATAATATGATAAGTACAATTAACAAGTTAATAGCTTGTGTGAAATGTAGGGGTGAACATATGCCTCACGCTATGCGAGTTCCCGAGCGCTCAGGCACGTGACAGCTATGTTGGTGTGAACTGCTGCACTCCTAGCATTGTATGTCAACACTTCAGCTAGGACACTGTCAGCCCTAGCCTCTGTGCTGTTCCTCCCGGGTCCATTATCAAGTACCTGTGCCGATCAGGTGGATACTTGATCTCCTGTGAAGTTGTTGAGAAGACGCCAATTTACCACCTGTGTCGTGAGTATATACAAGACCCCACGCTTAACATCCAGTGTCTACACTCCCGACATTTGTTCCGGCCGGCAGTCGGCACTTCCATACCACATATGTTTATGTTGCTCTGTACTGTCTTCATGCCGATTATCAGTGTAGGTACTTGTAAACAGACAAGTTTTGTTACAAATATCTATAATCTTGTGCAATATCCTTGGTGAAAGCGAAGTGTTCTACCTGACAGTAATCTTTAAAAGAACCAGAGGGCGTTAACATCTAAACCCTCGACAGTCACGTTTATTATCATTATTATTACCACTATTATTATTATTTCTAATATTATTGCCAGTATAATCAGTAATTATAACAATCACTTGGGTATTAATTTATGTTTTTGTTATACTTATTTAACAGCGGGGGAAGGAAAAGGAGTGAGTCAGGTGGAGGCCAGGACTACTTCCTTCAGTGGAGCTGATCCATATTCCTTCTTTGAACGGATCCTTTTAAATTCCTTTATGTATCCGCACATTAAACAGGAGTACCTCACCCTTTTCCACTTTCTCCTCTTCTGAAAAATCTCCCTTGACACGCCTTCAACTGTCCCAAACACAATTCTCTTCTTTACCAATTTACTTTGTTTTATCCACAACCAGGACATCTAGGTTCTTTCCAGTCATGATAACCTCAGTAAATTACTTCTTACCAATGTGACTGCACTCATTCACACACAATTAACTTAAAAAAAATCACAGCAGGGGGTTACCGGCCTCTTGCCTCTTGGACTAACTGTGTCATGAATAGTCAATGGATTGATACAATCCTCTAACCGTTATTAATTAAAATCCTCATTATTTGCCATTGATTTTCTTCTCCCTTATATACTTTACTACGAGGTTACAGACCTGGGAGAACCAAAGCCCGGAGTACCCTTGAGGAAGAAGACCATGAAAGCGTCACCACTGCTTATGGTTGTGCCCGGCAAGACTACCACTACTATTGTGTGGCGTCTGATCATCGATACTGCTTTATCTCTTCACATGAAGAACTTGATTGTCTTCGCCCCCATTGACTTCGGTAAGGCGTTAAAGCTGACTACTTTATGTTATATTTAATATGCAATTATTTTAATGCTTCTTGATGCATCAAAATATTTGAAAATGAAAATATAACTGATATTTAGTGGCTGCATCTATTTACGTAGCTTAGGGAATCATATTCTCATATCCTCACCTTTGTGAAAATTTAGTTCACACACACACACCTATGCATTCAATTATTCATTTTTGCAACATGTAATTTTCAATTATATGTAATGCGTCGTAGGAATAATTGGGACATAGCAATAATTTCAACATACAACTTAATTTTCGAACAAAAATTAACTCTGCTTATAGGGTCGAGTAATGACGATATACATAATACAAATTATAATGAACAACGTCATTCCCAACCTAACTTGACATAATATTACCTGACCTAATCTGGGTAAAGTTTGATTAAATTAAGATGACAAAGGAAGCATAAATAAAACAATTATTTTTACCGTCCATACATATACTAAAGGTTATGGAATTAGTAGTTGACATTATAATATCAGAACTGTGCATCAACACTTTAGGTTGTTAAGCAAGTAAATTAGATGTAAATTATACTAGTTTATTAACAATTAAAAAGAATTAGAAACAACTTCCCCATAGGAATTACGGCGGTATTCACCGCCCGATCGATCAGGAGCATCATCGTGTGTCATTATTCAGAAACGCTAACAGGCCCGAAGGCCTGTAAGCGTTTCTAAGTCTTAAAAAGGTTGTGGCGTTTTAACCAACCCTTTGGGCACTAGGGGTCTACCTCTCTGTGCTGAATAAAATCGTCTGGCATTAGCCAAATGAAATGGTTATAGTGGCGTCCATTAGTGAAAAGGTTAAACAGAAGATCATACTTCACTAGATTTCTGTGGACTTATAGTAAGGAGTTAAAAGTCTTCTTTTTGGTTCCACCAATTCACCATATCTTCTATAATTGGTATTACAATACCACTTAGAAACTAAACAATGTAACAATGCATATGTACAGAGAATCAAGAATTCACTCTGTGTAAGCAATTTATAAGGGACAACTAATAATGAAATTCAGTTAGCACAGCTCTATCAAGCAGCTAAAACAATGATGGAAGATGCTTCTATGCCACTACAAGAGTGGAATTAAAATTCACAAACCCTTAGTGATCCAATAAGACTTGACTATCCTGTTGAACAAAGCCTTAACCAAGTAAAAATATTAGGATCACTGTGAGACATGAGTACTGATGTAATTAACTTAAACGATGTAAAGTGGACAGACATTCACACTAAAAGAGAATTATTAAGTAATTGTAGCAAAATTAGTGATCCTCCAGGACTTGTACTCCTATGATTATACAGTTTAGGACTCTTATGCTAAAGGTATGGAAATTAAAAGTAGAGTGGGATGAGAACCTACCCAAGGGAAAAGTCAAGTGGGAGGTATGTAAGTTAAACGCCGAGGGCATATCACGAATGAAATTTCCCAAAATGACTTATAAAGAGCAATCAAACTATAACCTTCATCTCTTCTGCAACACCAGCCCGGGAGCCTGTGGATGTGTAGTGGTTAAGTAAATAAAATTTAAACCCCTCGATCGCCATGTCCAGAACTAGAGTGACAGCTTCTAAGTCAAAGACTTTACCACAATTAGAATTATCAGCAATTGGTATTGGTAGTAAATTAGCAAGCTGTCTGAAAATTACTTTAAGTCTCGTCACGATTAATGAGTTCCAGGTTTGGACAGATAGTCAAGTCGCCTTGCACTAAATCCAATATAATCTTCATACGAAATCGGATGGCTAAAATCACAAGGAGTTCCCGGGTTTAAAATTGTTTTACGGGGTACTAAAGAAATTCTACCCGACTGTTTAACTAATAATGAATTGTTGCACTAAAAATGGAAATATGTTTTTTTCTAATGTAGATTTTTATGCTGATTCCAAAAATTTGTTTTTATTGTTGAGAAATGACTCGCCACAAATTATATGCCTTTAAACTTTTCTATGTTCTACATCAAAATGTTACAATTTTTTTACTAAATTGATTTACTCTATGTTTTTCGTTGTAGATCAGTATGAGTTATGGAGTAAAGAACACACACCAAAAAATTTAAAACCTTACCTAATCTTACCTAACCTATAAAAATCCTTAAACTATAAAATGCTTACCTTTTTTGTGTTTTCGGTCTTCAGTATGTTTTGGTGTAGTTTTTGGTGTTCAGATGAGGAGGGAGTCCATGAACTTGTACTAAACACCGAAAACACGAATAAGATAAGCGTTCATTGATTTTCTTAAGATGGCGGTGAAAGCTCATCTGGAATCAGTCGGCAATTTGTTTTGATGTTTAGGAAAATTTCCCAATAGTCCTGCCAAATATAATTTCATTGCGAATTGGCTCAACTTTTTTCCTAATATCCCGGAGTGTATTTTGCAAGTTTATATTTCTTGATTTCCACCCCCCCCTCACCCCCCCAAAAAAAAATTGATGCTAGGGGAAGAGATACAAAACCTTAAGCTGGGTGAGATAATGTAAAGATAAGATCGAGCTTAGAACTACAAAGGCTAGAGTATTGTTCGAAAGAATAGACGGAAGAATTCAGTAAAATCATCTTAAAAATTCATATGCTCCAAAAAGTATCTTTGTGATTTGTTGCCAGGCAATATGACACCCTACCAGGAAAAAAGAAGTCGCAGTGTTCATTTTGAAATTAATCGGACCCCTCCGTAAACATACGTGTACAATGACAGTGCAGGTATATACAGGGGTGTATATGTAATCAATGACAAACGGTAAGACAATTCATTCAAGGATAACCCAATACATGAGGGTAGATTGACTCACAACGTTATCTGTCGATGATAATAAGAGGACGTATCTGTCTGTGAGTGCGTCTGTCTGTCTGCCTGTGTGTTCCAGCCATAGCTCCAAAATGCAAGCAAGTTAGAGACCTGAAACTTTTCACACATCTTACATGGGTCCCAACGTTAAGTAGACCTTGGTACTGTTATTGATCGCAGTCCGGACACCAATCAAAAATCTTCTTCAACCGTGATATCGACAAGGCGATTTCGAGAGGTGTCAGGGAGAATAAACTGTGACAGTCAAGGTTAGGTTAGGTTAGGTTGTTACCTGTGTCAGGAGGGGCAAACTGTGAGGTTATACAGTATATACTGTACCTAACTCTTGCAAAGCCGGGTAATTTTGCTCACAAACCTGAAACATAATGGTGTGAAGTCATATTATAATCTTGATTTTGTATTCAGTCTGTCTCTTCCTGTTTCTTTGTTTTGGTCTTAATGAAATAAGTACAGTAGCTTCAGCTGTCCATGAACACCTACTGTTCTAGAAGACTGTCGTTGTGAAATTATAATAAGGATTCCATCAATCAAACAGGAAGGTACTACCGCCTGAGAAGATATTGGAAGCATAAAGTGCTGTCTAATGGTAGACCCTGCTGCCATATGGCATCGCAAAAATTGTGACCAAGTCCAAGGTTGCTGATCTGATTTTCTGCCTCATTTACACACAATTGCAGGATCTCAATTGTTTCTTTTACTGTTGACAACACAACATACATTTAACGTTTCTCACTATTGATAATTTTTTTTGTTTTTATTATTATTATCATTATTATTATTATTATTATTATTATTATTATTATTATTATTAATATATTTTCGCCCCCAGGCCCTGATGTAGGTCATTGAACTGTGCTGAGGTGGGCTAATCCCGTAAAAAAGTATATACGAGTATATAAACCAATAAAAAAAAATCAAATATTTGTAAAAGGTTTACTTTTTGTCACAATTGATTTCTATTTATTTTCTGTTACAGTAACTTATATAACCTTATTTAACTTTCTTAGTTATATTTCTTTATTTTCTATATTTTTCTAAATCTTTCAGAATTTTTATTTCTTCCTTTCCCGATCTTTCTTTTCTAACTTATTGTTTATTCCTTTCAATGTCATTATTTACTGGTTTTCTATATCTTTCTTTAACTATTTAAATATTTCTTTCTTTTCTTTATTTATTAAGCCTTTCTCAGTGCTTCTTTTTTGTATATTTCCTCTTACTTACTTTTATTCTTAGCTGTGCTTAGCTATATTTTGTTCAATGGATTAACCTGGGAAAACCATATCATTCTTTAACATCACATCTTAGTACAATTATTATACTTCCACAGTGGACTGCCACCACCCAGGCTTTTATTTAGAATATAACTTCTATCGTTAAGAGTGCTAGGTAGCGTGGTAGACACGAGCTTAGGCACGTGAGTTAAGGTATTTATTTTCTGATAAGCCAAGTTTTGGAAGGAAGGAACAGTTATATTCACATTATACCAAATCGATATTTATTAAAATCAAATGTGAATAGTATGATAATTTGAACCTTTATTCACAACAACAAAATCTCGACTCAATCACTGATTACTTGAATCGTTTAATGTAACACTCAAACAAAAACGAACCAGTAGGTCTTACTGTATAAGTAACAAAAATAGATCTTAACTTTTTTGTTACATCAACAACTATAACACGAAGGCAACAACGGACTACTAGGTCTTACTTTATAAGTAAGAAAATAGATTTTTAATTATTTGTTACAACATCAAATAACTGTAACACTTAGACACAAACGGACCATGAGGTCTTATTGTATAAAGAGCAAAATAGATCTTCACTTAACATTCAATGCTTATACCTTTTTAAGGGTATTATTATATATCACTGACAGTAAAGTGACCATCTGATGGTCACTTTACACACTTGCTAAAAGCACAGAATGATGGTATTATTTAGAACAATAGGCTATTACAAGGCCTTTAATACATTGCTTGTAGCATCATGTCATTATTTGAAGAACAAACATGGAACGTGCGTACCCCAGCATACCTCACTTGTGAGTATAGTTGGTTGACTCACTTACATAACAAGCACTACTTCTGTGGGTAGTAACACTTAGGGCAGGAAACATGTACCAGCATCTCAGTTATGAGTATACATAGATGATTTTCTCACAACATATAACAAACACTTAATACTGGTAATAGCAATATTTTATGGTTTCTATACTAAACCTGGGACAATTCTATTCCTGCAAATTATCCCAAATCATATACATTCAAAGAATAATCCTTGGCACCTGTCAAGATGAGTGTACAGTGTACACCGTGCTTACACCGCTGGTGTTCAAGCCCATGCGCTCGGCTGTAGTCTCACTAACCTCCAATGCGCGGTGCTAGAGAACCCACTCTCCCTTGGTTAGCTCCCAGGATGCGTCACTCCCTCTGATATTAATATCGCTGAATTAACGACATCCTGCCTCTGACATCTTGCTGGTAGGCAGCTACCATTCCTCGGTAGCTGCGAGTATCAGCCTCATCATTTACAGGATAGTGTGTGGTGGTGGGACGTGTGTGTGGGACCTCCGTGTTTTTAGTCGAAAAACAGGGTCTTTCCAGGAGTACCCAGTCTGATTTCTAGGAAATATGATTCGTGAGTGACTAATGAGTGTTGTGACCAGTACAATATCTATCTGTGATCACCCTAAGTAGATATATTTGTCAATTTACTGGTGAATCTGTGTCTACCAAGAGAGGTGTAGGCCCACCAAGCTCCCCTCAGTGCCACGGCTTGTAATCTGAGCCATGTCCACCCCCACCATCCACCCTCCCCCACCGTCCCACCAGGCTACCCAGCAGACCACACAACTAGAGGAGGCCATTAAACAAAAACAGGTCGATTTAACAAACTGCATCCAAAAGTCATCCGTTGGGATGACAAAAAATTGAGGAATTGACGCACAGTGAACAAACCACGAATCCAAGGGATCCCCCCAAAATAAAAAAACAAGATACCATGGACTCGCCGGCAGTTCTTGCAATTGTCCCAGAGTACCACGGAAATCTCCCACGTTCCAATAATGAATCGTACATATTTTTTTATTTTTTTTTTAGCCAGAGTGCTTCTTGCAAACCGACCATGGGGCTACCACAACATGGTGTACACCACGGAAGTTCTTGCAATTGGCCCTAATGCTACTCATACATGTTACATCATAATTTTAAATTTACAATGCAGGGGCAATACAGAAAACAAATCTCTCTGTAGGGGTAACTTGCTCATTTCACACCTGTTTTATAGGCGACGGAGCATAATATGAATAAATAAAAGTAAAGTTGTGAAAATGTCATCAGTGTATCTATGCCCATGACATCTGGTTTGTCAGGTTCGGGTTAATTACTTTGCATATCTCATTACCTCGAAACTGTAGCCTCAGGCGATTTAGCTTGGGCTTGGATATATCCACTTCACTTTATTACCAATGTATGGGTCATTCCCCACACTTTGCAATTGTTTAACTCTTTCATAAGATTCTCGAATCATTGCTCCGTTCGTGGCTATTCGTCACATGGGGTAACGATGTGCATTAAGCTCACACTGAGGTACATAAGATATTTCGTTGGAGTATATAGTTTATGGGTCAAGCCCAATACCTCACATATGTCTGATACATTTATCATTTTCCTAGAACATTGTTCTCACATATTTTCATCTGTTACCTGAGGTAGCTAAGTTAACTAATCGGACACAGACGTATATATCATAACCTTCAGACACGGTCATACTTATTCAGAATAGTACACAACTACACAAGCCCGTACCAATTGGGCCTTCCCAATCAGCATATAGGCTAACGAGCCGATCTTTTGGCGAAGAGGATAAAAGAAAAGGAAAAGTATTCAGGGACGTGACCGATCGCCCAAGCGACAAACGAGCCGATCAGTGGTAAAGAGGATAAAAGTAAGTAACAGAATTACCCCTTCGAAATGTTTATCGTTTTCTGTGACACTCCCCACTAGAAAACATAGATATTCCCTTAGCGCGGTGAGTTTGAATATCATGCAGCTGTAATATGAATCAGAAGAGCTTACAAGGACCAATACTAATATACGCAGTACAACAGCAAGAAAGCCTTCTGCGTTTCAGTGTTCTTTAATCCTTGAGAGATGTGTTTTTGCCTTGATTACATTTGTTTTATCTTATTTACAGACTAAGACACACTTTCCTGAAATAATTTTTACTTAGAACTTACTTGGGTGCGGTCAGTATGTTCAATAATAACTCGGCATTCCTCAGACACAGACGTAAATGATGTTATGAGAGGTGCTTGGATACGAGGAGTCACTACTGAGGTATATTTAGACCAGCAGCCATCTACAACCCGGGCGAAACAACTAGCCACTGACGAGATCCCTAACCCAGTCACCACCTCCTCACTGTGGCCAACTATAGACTGGACATTTCTGTACGGGCGACAGCCAATACACCGGATCAATATGGCTGTACTGGTGTTGGGCCCTAGTGACTGGGTACTGAGTGCTGCTCTACAGGTGAGATAGGTTGATGCAATTTATATCGTAATTGATTTGACTGGAAGAAAGTGTTATTTTGTTTATACAGATATCAGTCTTCGGGTTCATGCATCTACAGTTATTAGTACATGTAATGTAGTTACCCAGAGAAAACCTATCATGTTCTGTAACATCACATTGGACAACAACCTTCTTACATGTAACCCAAGCGGGAATCAATCCCGAGTGGCAGTAGAAAGAGGCCATACTTTTGTATCACCGACATCTGATTTTTTTCATACCAATGAGACTTAATGGTCATCATTTTTTATTGATATTCTAATGTATCTCATATATTTTTTTTTCTAAGAATAATGAGATTGTAAACAGATGTTACATCAACTTTAACGGGTGAGCATCAGTAAGGTGTTTGGGCGAATATTTACGATTGCTTTGTATTTTTTTTTGTCAATGGATTTTGTATGAAAATCATCTGTTAATTAGTCAAAAGGATAGTGTGGAAAGAATTATCTTATAAAAATGTAAATGTCTTTTCCTTAAATACATTTCATAGTCTATCATAAAGGAAGTTTAGAAGATATCCGAAAAAAGTCATAGGAGATAATTATATTTCCGATTACTACTCATTAACATACTACAATCTTAGAATATAACACAACTTTCGAAAATGTATTAATATAAAAAGTATTGGATATTTCCTATACGAAAAAATATAACGTGGGAACAAGAAGTTTCTGCACATACTTTATACAGTGAAGCTTTAAGAGTGGATGATGAACGGCTTAACTCTGAGAAGTATGTGAGTCTCCCATTAACTGAGACGTGAACTCTGTGCCTTTGTCAGAAAGAATCTCCTTAGCAATGCCAACCCTGGAAAAAATCATACGTCCTTCCACTACAGATATCGAGTCATATTTTTCACAAGAAAAGCTTCAGGAAATCCTGCGGCGAAATCATCAGCGTCAAGGTGTACTGTACCTGTAACCTTGAGAACGGCTCAGTAATAATAGGCATATTTTTAAGAGGGACTGGTTTCACTCTACCATTGCACGACATATGTTAATACTTATCACAAGTTTTCCAAAAGAGTCAATTGCCAGATCCCGTGTCAGCCTAATAAAAGTGATTCTTGAGCTCTCAATTCAGTCTTAATGTGATAAAAATGTCCAGCCAGAGGACTTTCATCAGCAGGAACAAGTGATCGATTACTTACTCCCTCGTGGGGCTTTGACTCGACGCAAGTACGATACAGTAAATCGTCTACATTTTCATATTTAGAGGTAGTCTCGTCATTTAAATTAATTACCACGCCTTCTTTCACTTTCTCTCTAATAGGGGTCAATAAATGACGAACAATCGTTCGAGAACAAACAGCGGTATAGGCCCGCTCATCCTCTTAAGAATACTTACACCTAAAGAAGTTCAACAAAATAAACACGTGACTTCCGGGGCCCAAGGACAGAAAACAGGACCAAAATAACAAATCCCGAGTCAAACAATGAAACACAATGACACTAAAGGCGTGTACCGCCAGAACCTCTGCTTCAGTTGATTTTTTCAAAACAGCATGTTCCTAAAACTCAGAAAAGGCAAGTCATTGGAATCCTGGCAAGGTCGCCATTTGTGCAGGACCCGAATCGTACATCCAATAGAGGGTTTTATGGCACATTTGAGGTTTCAGGAAAATGGTAAATAAAAAGTCAATTTATTTACACAACTTATTCATCACCAACAATGCAACACTCTGCACTCTAAATCACAACATTACTATCCTGGAACCTCGGTAGGAAAAAGCACCATGCTTCACACCAGCTGTGCTGCTCCAGCCACACACCCTCCTTGCACTTCTACCCCGCCCCGTCACTCATTGTCACTTCGACTCAATCCACCTATACTTCACTGCCAAGCCTCGGGTTGCTGTGGAGACTCACGTGTGTCGTCGGGTTAGATATTGGTGGTGTACTGGGTCCTATGAAGCATGTCAATTTCTCCTAGCGATGCTCAAGGATAGGAATGTTGTGGTTTAGAGTGTAGAGTGTTGTAGTGTTGGTGGTGAATAAGTTGTGTAAATAAATCTGTTTTTTATTCAGCATTTTTTCTGAAATTTCAAGTCTGCCAGTAAATGAAATGCAAAGAAATTAGAATTGTGCGAGTGAACTGTATGGACCCGCAAATACGCACATGCCCACTTACATTTTTCATGATCCAAAGAGAAATTTGGGGTACCTTTTTTTGCACACACATATTCCCACCCACCCATAAGGGCCGGGATTGAACTGAGCCGGACTCTCTATGAAGCCGGGTTCGGATGGGGCTGAGTTCACGGTTCTACAGTATGCATCAATTTTTATTGTGTATTTACAAAGCAAATATTGTATAGCTGTTTTAGGCCTGTGTGTGTAATTAAGTATCCAGCACAGCTTATATCAGTAAAAATTTTATTTGTAATGCAAATGAGCATCCTGTACAGTATAATAATGTTTAATGCAAATTTGTACATTGATATTGTTTTAAAAAATAATTCATGTTTTTCACCTAAAAAAATTCTTACTTTCAGCTCCTGTCTAAAGTCGTGTTTGGAATGGTAAGTATTATGATAGTTTTAAGTACGGAAGGTAATTATAATCTAATACGGTACATGAGAAGGTGTGATGCCTTACATCGAAAATAATGTTTCCTGGAAAAGTATAGTGATTGACTGTAGGGGGAGCATTGTTTTATGTTTTGTTTACACTTTTCGAGACCATTTTATTTATGGGGGGAGTTACTAATTTATATTTGGCATTCACCCGTTGTTGGCACCATTATATCTATGGAGAATTAGAACGTTTTATATTAATTTATCTCACTGTTGTTAACCATTTTATATATGCTGATTTTACCTCTCTGTTATTTTTTCTTTATTTATTATTTATTTCTTTATACCTGTTTCTCTGTTTTCTGTTCTCTGTTACTTTTCTCTTATCTAGCTATATTCTGATCTAGTTATGTTCTGACCTAGGGCTTACTTAGAAAACCCCTTGTTATGTTACAATCTTAAATACTCACGGTAGCTGCCACCACCCAGGTTTTTCTATCAGAATATACTGTATGATATAACATTAACAGTAACAGGAAACTTGGGTGGTAAAAAAACTTGGCGAGGAAGAGGACACATGGGTTTATTTTATTTAATGGTATCAAGGTATGGGGAAAAAACAAAGGTGAATACTGCCGGAGAATGATACACCCAACATACAATAGAGATAGTTTATTTAAAATTAAGTTGAATACCGGACACTATCAGAACATACACCTATAAACCACCCCATGAGGTTTACTCAAGACTTGGCCAAATTTAATTTTACACTAATACAACTCAAAAGACCACTTGGCCTTTCTTCCGCGTCAGCCAAACAAGTATTCACGTTAACAGGACCAATGCTCTGCCAAAAGTACTATAGGTTCCTGGTAACCTTCTATGACAGTGACTCAACAAGGACTGGTCGTGGGCATTTCAATATTCCTACATTACTACTTACTAACACTTCATAGCATATCTCAAATACTCCTCACAAGATTGCTCGTGTACAGTAAGTATTATTACTTTCTACACTTGGGGATATGTATTACTCTGGCCCACACACAGTTATCATGACTTCACGAGTCAATGAAACAACAAGGAATGGTCGTCTGTACTTCAATTATTTTACTACTTATACTAACACTTCATTGAACTTCTCAAACACCCATCACAAGATTGTTCGTACACAGTAATTAGAATTGCTCTCAACACTTGGGGGATACATGTTACTGTCACCAATAACTATCACGACCCCAATCGTCAGTAATATAATCTTACCTCTTGTCTCGTAACCTTTTTACATTCCACAAATCACAGGATACATTGGTATTCATTTACAAGGTGGAAATGAGATTCCGAAGACAACAATTACAGATACATGCAAGCTGTTACCAGACACGGCATGCGCAATGTCATATGTTTTGTATACAAAACAATCCTTGCGTGTACGCTCATTGACACAGTGGCTTGGTTCTGCTTCGTCCTGGGTTCGAGTAATACCTCCTAGACATGACCATACTCGTTAGCTCACGACTCACGTTGGCGCAATTAACTCAAGATTCTGATCCTGACGAATTAAAAACCTCCTTCGTCAGATATCCTCTTTGCTACTACTGGCCACCGCCTCCCGGCAGCTCCAGCAACCCACACAGTACCTGGGTGATGAGCAGAATGCATTATTATTAGTAGTAGCATTATTTTAAGTATTTCAGCTTCAACATATAACTAAACTAATACAGGTTTAGCCTCAAGTGCTTTGTTAATTATTTGTCATGTTCTGCAGATGGACACACTCTTATTAGCTCCTGTGGAGGGCGTTGTGTCCTCCATTGACTTGTGTCCTAACATTCCCATGGCGGTGAGGGTGGCCCTGCTGGAGGTGCCACGTGTTGAGGTAAGTCTCACTGTAGGTTGAGGTACTTTACGTCTTGTCCTGTTGAACATTACCAAGACTATTGAGTTTTGTTTATGTTTAATATTATTGATGTAACACTTTTAACTTTCCCTAGTCTTTTAAAGCTTCTCTGAATCATTAATGACATACGATTGTCTTTTACTCATTTGCAGTTGAATTTGGCCTCGGTTTCAACAGACCGCAGTCGTGATGGGTCTCAATCCTAATATACCTCAGTCATAATTGCCCCCAGTCCGGATAGGTCCTCAGTATATTAGGCTTTGCCCTAACCTAACTTAATCATTAAGGTGGGGCCACTTAATTCCGTGGCCTACTATTTTGTATGTCACTTGATGCCAAACGTGATCCTTGTGGCGATACAGGGTAGAAAAAAGATTTGTGAAGGCCTGGTGAGGGAAGCCCAGCTACAGGAGGGAGGGAAGTACGTGCTGCGTAGTGTAGGATGCTGGCGCCGTGGTCGACTCCTGCTGAGATCTTCGCTGTTTCCTGTCCTTACCTCCTTCAAGGGCGCCGTGCTCAAAGTTCTTGGGGTTAAGGTAAAACTATATTCCTGATCAAACCCTTACTAACGACAATCAAAACCTAACCTAATATATGTAAATTAACCTACTAACTGTAACAAGGCCAAACCTAATGTAACCTGACCTAACATAACCTATCCAACCTAAAGCAATATACCTCGCCTACCAAACTTAACCTGCCTAACTGAATCTACTGATTTTATAATAGTTCATAGTTAGGTTAGGTTGGCTATTTTCCTGTCAAGACTCAGTTAACATCTGACCTCAGAAACTACATTCATTCCTGTAGTTTGTTCACCTGAACTTTGCTAATGAGGCCTAGGGTCAGTTTGTAACAAGCTAGCTAATTGGCTGGCGGTGAACACGCAAAGTCCATACAGTTCTTTATTACTGTATTCAATATATCTTATTTATATTCAGATATTTTAAGGGATAATAACTGTTCTCTGTTGATCTCTGATAATTTCCACAAATGTAGAAGCAAAAATTAGCATGCGAAACGCACTTATAATATAAATATCATAAAGGGAACATGAGTATACGTAATGAAAAAGTTCAGCGACGTTAGCGCCCTTTTTGGTCATCTATCGGTGCCTGGGTGACTTCAAAACTCCGACATCACCAGCAAAGGCAAAAGATGTCAGGTATTTCCAAACAGTTTATTAAGCGTCACGTTTCCCCGACGTTATGTCAAGAAGATCATCTAAATATCAGTAAAATAGAGTAAGTTAACAGTAACCCTCTTAATTAAAAAGATACAAATTTAACTATTATTGCAGGACCATCAAAGAAGCTGGATTTCATAGCGGTAGAAATTTTCCTTGAAATTTGATAATCATCTCAGATTTGTATTTATTCATTGCCATATATAATTATGGGAAAATATTTTCATCAATGTAAAATCATATTTTTAATGAGTCATGACGGTGGAAAGGAAGAGGAGGAAGAGATAAACAATGAGATGGAACAGCAAAATGGTATGAATGGTAGTATTAACAAAATTATATACCTCTTCTAGATAAAGAGAAATAAAATTAAACTTGAAATGAATTTAGAGAAATAGAAAAGTTTTATTTGGGCCAAATAACCACCAATGTCCTTGAAAAGCACCAGGGAAGTCAAAGAAACGGGGGGAGAGAGGTAGAAAGGTGATGGTTCGTTTTCCCCACCACCAACAGGGCCTACACACATGGTTGTAAAATGGGATGTATTTGTTATCAGAAATAATAAATATGTATGAAAGTGTTGAATAGAGTTTAGTAGTTTCATCTAAAGAGAAGGAATCTTTTTGAATCTTCAAGGCTGAGACGGGTACCGACTGGTGAACATGAAGACTTCAAACACCACTTGCATCGTGACGTTACGCGCCCAAGCGTGGTGAGGAAATTAATTATCAGAGATCGGCACTGGGTAGTTATTATTCCTTAAAATTAGAGAATATGGGTAAGATAAATGAAATACTAAAGCAAGGTTGAGTGAGCCCTTGCATGTCTTCCTGTCAGACAAGGAGCAGTCATGTTACAAAATGACTCTAGGTCTCATTTGCAAAGTTCGAGTGAACAGACTATAGGAACGCCGCATTTATCCTCGCATATTGCAGATAACTCGCAATTTCTTCACGAATTTTTCATTGTTGAGTTTAGGTCGCTACAGTCAGTTGACCACAACTTAGTATCCACCACTAGGTAACACTTCCTTAACTTGTAAACTTACTAGTCGGTCAGGAGGTCGGTCAGTTCTCTGTTACACATTAGTATCAGGTAGTAATCATGTCCTGGCTTTTAATTGTACCTTAATATATGCTATTGTTGGCGATCACTGTTAGCAAGTATCGGCCGTGTGCGGGTTCTTGAATGCATCACAACCCGATGTGTTTCAGCCTAAACTTACCCCCAGAAGATACAGAGCTGGACAAAATTGATATTACCATTGCTAGCTTTAAGTAGGGTAGACATCATGATAATAATAATAATAAGCAAGAGGACTAATAAATAAGACATATAATAACTAGATGGGGAAAATTAAACTACAGTTCCCATTTCTAAATTATAGTGATAGTGCAAGGAGTAGTGTGTTTACTGGGAGTGAATACACTGATTTATTGGGCAAGTTGATAATTTTACAATGGTTGGGACTGGGCTGTTCTAGCGACTGCCTGTGCACGTATGGGCTGGATGCTGCGGTTGTGGTGTCGAACAGCACTCTCGGACTAGGGATCTCAGGTGGTAGTAGGAGCCAGGTGTCGGGGATGGTGTAGAAGCTTACCAAATTTGCAGATGAGGTCGTGGTGATGACAGTGAGAGTCGAAAGGGTCAGTGTGTTGAGCGCTTCTTGATATGTGGAGTAGGAGGGAGAAAAGAATAATCTTGCATGCCCTCTTTTGCACTTTTCTAGGTGTTTACGTTGTGTGACACTTAGGGGAGGAAGACCAGGTGGGGGAGGCATAGGTGAGCTTTGGAAGTATAAATGTTGTGTAAAACACTGAGGAGCTTCGTGTGCAGGAACCCGAGGGACTTGAGTCGGCGTAGGAGGAGACGGAACTGAGGATTGATAACTTCTCACTGACGTGTGGTTTCCAATTTAGTTTGTTGAAACCATGCAGACGCCGAGGAGCTGTGGAATTGCCAACCTGGCGTGTACCTGGACCCAGAGTAATGGAAGGAGGTGACAATGTCGGAGGAGAGGTTGATGCATAACCATGGTCTTAGTATGGTTGATGGTGACATGGTTAAGCAGGCCCAGTTTTGGGAGACTGTTCAATAAATCCCGAAGGCTGTATAGTTGGGAGCAGAATCGGTTGACGCGATCCCAATGGTGAGTCGTCGACATATTTCCAGCGAGCAGGGTTTCTCTTAGGGCACGCCGGATGAGCATAAGGAAGCAGAGAGTGGTCCCATCTTGGTGCCTTTGGGGACGCCATAGGTGAGTGACTGAAAGGTGGAGACAGCCCCTGAAGCGTACAGTTTATGTCGGTCAGGAGGAAGTCTGTAGGCTATGGTATAAGATTCTTCAGAAGCCCGAGGTCAATAGGCTTTGTTGATGATTATATTGTGGTCGATTCAGGTCGAACGCTTTAGGTGAAATCAATGAAGGCGACAGTTGAGACGTTTTTTCGGCTTCTCGAGATGGTGGCGGTATGTAATCGAGAAAGCTGACACATTGTGCGAGTGGTGGAGGAAGCTTTCATGTTGCCAAATTGCTGAGGGTCTATTGACTCCTGCAATATCAGCATAAAGCCCAGTCGAACACAAAACTTCACAGATTAGGCTGGGTATTGGGGTGATTGCAATAGGTCGAAGCTGATTTAAGGATTGTGAGCTGCTTGACTTGGGCACTGGTGATACATAAGAGGTCTTCCAGTCAACTACCTGGCTTGACTGAGAGAAGCATTGATGATGGAGCATAGGGGTTTAGCAAGTTCGGGAGAACTCCCTGAAGAGTTTCTCATTGGTAAGTCAATGGGGGTGGTAGAGCTGTTTTAATTTGAAGGCTTGTCCAGGCGTTTTGCTACTTCAAATTCCTTCTACTGTCAGGGGACTGTAAGCAGGGAGAGTGGTTGTGTCATTGGGGAGCACCAGTATAGTAGCTTAAATGGTTGTTTGTTTGCTCAGCTGCGTCAACATTAGTGAGATGGCTAAGGAAGGAGGTGTCTTATTGTTTAGTCCATTGTGAGTTCTTTTTAAGCTACTATACCATTGACTGGATGTTGGTCTGCTTCAGGTGTTGTAATTTGGTTGGGTAGTGGGGACTTTGAAAGTGCGTATTTCGCGGATGACCTGCCAGAAGGACCCAGAAGTGATGTGGTCATTGAGATGAAAGGCTCGTCTCTCTGTTGCATAAGTCTTTTGATCCGGGAGGTGTGATCCAGGGCAAGTCAGCTGGGTGAGATCTGACGGACTTCCCTGGGAAGAAGGGTATGGAGCTCTGTGGTGGTGTTGGTATATAATTTATCCATTTGGTTTCCACGCCATTCACGCAAGTACTTCAGTCCAGGATGGTGAACTATCCACTGCCCGAAGAGTGCTGCAGCACTGCAGAGCTCAGTACGGCCTGTAGGTCTTGATGTGGGTCTCTACTTGAGTGGGAGTGGCAGCTGGGCACCAGAGCACTGGATAAGTGTGTGTGCTACACCCGATAGGAGTGCATTGGCTGAGGTGGTTGGTACTGCTGGTCCGCTGTCAGTTGGGTGATAAGGTCATGGTACGGACTGTGTGTGGGGAAGGTCACAACTTGGTGATAGTGATAGCTGGTCCTGGATATCAGTGGTGTCACTGCATTAAAACTTCACATAATACTAACTTGGCACATGTGGGTACCTAACTTGAGGTGGTCTGAGGTGGTGATGAGATGATTGATATGCCCTGGTGGGTGAAAGGAGGCGGATGGCATGCCACACAGATTATGATGGGCTAGTGTGGGCGCTGGTGGGCCCGTAGCACGACACATACCCATAATGCTTCCACATCTGCTGGGACCGAACATCCAGGCGTGACGGGCGAGTCATCTTTGACAGAAGAGGGCAACGCCCCTCCGTTCATGTGAAATCAAAGGTGATGAAAGAGTTGATATCCCCTCAATGGCGACACGTTTCAGGCACACTCTGCTAAGCCTCAATATATGGCAACGGTGCCGCGGCGCTGACCTGACTGTAGTTGCCAGCTCGCTGAACTTGTTAGCTAGGGAAGTGACGTTGATAGCAGTAAAGACGGAGATCATACCATATCCGTGGGAACTTCAGTGAGGTGGTATGGTTCCGTTGCGGGTGGGTTTTTCCGGTTTCCTAGTGGAGGTTACGGTTCTAATGGGCTTATGTGTATGACGGCCTTGTCTACGGCTCCGCGCGTGGAATATGTTCAGTGACTTGAGTCGCGCGATAACACTGCCATCAGGATAACCGTTCCCACGCTTTAGATGGTACAGAGTGCGTCAGGAGTAAGTGATTGGTGGCCATCTGTTGAGATCTGTTGTGGGCGGACGGAAGTGTTTGTCACTGACGGCACTTTGAGGGCCACTGACACTGGTAGACATCTGTTAATATTTGTCAGTCGTAAAGACCGTGGGTCTTTACGACTTTGTCCCTGGTGCTTGGGGTCGCCGACACAGTTATCACGATATATGTAAACACCGCGGTGGTCCTTGTCACTGGCACTTTAAAGGTGACCGATAAAGTGCCCACTGTCTGACTTTTCCTTGGGGTGCACTATCGAGCACTGTATAATAATCACTTATTGCACTGATGACTTGAATGCTTTGCTGAGAAAGTTCCTTAAGTGCACTATAGGAACACTGCTCCGTAATCAATCGTTCACTAATCACTAGAATGTTTTGCTGAATAGATCCCGGTGTAGTAAGGCTGGTAGGGCGTTGGGGTATAGCAGGGGGAGTGGGCAGGGCCAAACAGACTCGGCCTGGCTGCTAAAACCAGGAGCGCCTTCGGGGCACGTCTTGTCTCACTGATGGTTGACAAGTGTGTTACCAAGCACTCAGTCATGGTTGATGAATAAAATCCTGGGCGAAAAGGACCTACAGAACACATACAGTAGGTTAATCTACCTTATTTACATATATTTACAAATAAAAGGTACAGTCGCGATTGAGAGAAATCATCTACCATACCCGCGAGCTCAATTACTATTATTACACGTCACAACTGTATTTGAATTTTGAATTTTGCCGGGGACAGCAGCTAGTTTATTGTGCACCCCATAATCATCCTGTAAGAGGTAGCGCAAAAAGGATTACATAAAGGGTCTTCATCGGACCCCAGTGATTTTGACATGACGGCAATGAACGCTGCAGAGTATTTCCAGTACATTGTTTGTTTAAGTAGGTCCATAGAATTTTAAGTAGGTACTAGAAGCGAATTGTGGATACAGCCTTAGTATATCACCTATCTTGTCATCAGAGATAAAGTGCCGTGGCATACGGTGTGCTTGGATCTATCCCTGTAAGTTTCTATTTTTTCACAGTCTAAGACGTAGTGTTGGAGTGTGTGACCATATGTCTGGCCGCACACTTTACATTTAGTACTTATATCCTTAGTCTAGTTGTGACAATATATTGTAATCCAATGATCTTGTTACTTGCTCCATATACTGTACATGTTTGACTTGATATATCTCATCATGGTAAACAATGGATTGACTAGTGCTCCGTTGCAATTGTCTACTCCTTCAAATTCATCATTAATTTTTTTTCTAATTGCAGTTTTTAAGGTTCCATTTTGACAGTCCTAGATTGTATTCAACATTGTCATTATTGGACGCGAGTTTACGTAAGGCATTAACCCTATCATGTTCACTGATGCATATGTGAGAGGGGATCCAGAGACAAGCGGGTGAAAATCTGAGTTTAAAGTATCAAGAGCAAGTAGTGAGGATATGGTGTCAGTGGTGATAAGACACGACAGGTCACAAGAGGATGGGGGAGGTGTTGATGGAGGGAGAGAGCTAGGGGTAGCGGACCCGGGTAAGGTAGAAGGGCGCATGTAAAGGTGTTAGGGTTGATGTGTATAGCTTGACGTTGACGGCCTTAATGACCTGCTAGTTGATAGGCCTAAGGCCCAACCAACCGGGGAGGTAAAGTATGGACTTTACTTTCCCTTAGTTATCTATTCCTTTACTTGAGATTCTGGGGAGGTATGCGGGTGAGTTTTGGCAGGTAATGTAACATTAAGGTTGATAAGGCGTCTGGCTTCCGTGGTGGTAAGCCCCTGATATGAAAACATAAGAGAGGGTGGGGCGTGGCTTGCTCACCACCAGTAGCACAAAACTAGGTTGTTACCTATCGCCACTACCGTTCTTGACGCAAAAAATCAGTATTATTTGAAGGAAAAAATTAAGAATGAATTAATTATTAGTTGATCACTTCCACCTCTCTCCACTACCGTTCTTGGAAAAAAATTAAGTGATAAAAAAGAAGAACGAATTGTTGGATAGAATGTGACTTGTCCACCCTGCAATATATTTATTAGAGCTGTGAAAATCAATGAGGTGATGATGTGTTAGTGACAATGGCATTCGCCCACTGCTCCACACCCAGTCCAGGATGAACGCTAAAGAGTCAAGGGCAAATTATCGGTTTGCTCGCGCCTGGCGACAACGTACCGGAACTTGCACAAGAGATTGGAGTCACTGTGAGACGTTGGTTAACCCTCTGGGAGGAATCTGGGAACCTGAGTGATTTTTATGGTTTGGTGGCATTTGATATATTAAAATGACTAATTTCGGGTGTGCAGTGTAAACAAAACACATTTGAACTCTTAATTCATATAAATTATACTCGTATAATTTGAGGCTGGAGAGACCACGATTGGCAGGCAAGGACGGCATTGGACGGGATATTAAGATTCTGTATGACCTGCAGTCGTAAATATTAAACATTAATGTGAAGCAAATGGATGGCACATAATAATAATCGTAAAAGAAGGGTCCTCATCTATTACTCTTTCAAGCATGTAAATCGAAGATAATATAATGAAAAAAAATTACATCCAACCTTCCCTTCCTTCTTTCATGAATTTTCCTGCATTCTTCAATCCCTTCCCTCTCTGACAAGTAGCTTGCATCGCATACCACCCTCCCAACAAAATCTCCCCCCCCCAAGTCGACCATTCCTCCTCTCCACCCCCACGTGACTTTCCATGCAGAAAGGACCCAGACAGGCACAGAGGTTAGGTGATGGAGTGCATGATTACTTTTGACCACGACTGTACAAGACATAATTTAAATGTACTTCATACCTACTCTAATTGGGAATTCAGCATAACCACTACTGAATCACACCAAACATTCCCTCAGAAAGGATTCACAAACCTTAGACCACATGTGTGGCCAAGAGGGAGGAGATATCTACCCTCAACCCCAGCCATGGACAAAACAGCCAGAGAGGAGGCAGAGACAACTCCTCTACAGTAAGGCTGGTGTGAGGGTTGACTGGGTTAACAGGGATGGGACGACTCACGCAACTCAGTAAGCTCCGCTCATCGGCGCATGCACAAAAAGTGTCATTTAATTTACAAAGCTTACATATACTACAACACGTTGTTTGAGGCAAGGTTATAATGGGAGAAGGATAGGAATATTTATGTGATCATAATGGTAATTAAATATTAGCTAAAATATATGTTATACTGTAACACTGAGAACTCAAACAACAATTTGTTTACATGGCAGCTCAAGTGGCTGTGCCTAGGTCAGCCACACCCTTGCGTGGGTCATAACCACACCCTTTTCTGGTATGATGAAATAGTGATAGCACCCTGGCTGGGGCGCCACATTGTCGGAAGGATGACGTAATAACATAAAAAAATCCTTTACAGTATTAATAAGGTGAAGCCATGGCCAACAGACATTGCATAAACACAAATACACCTATAAGTAAAGAGCACGTTCCCGTGAAAAATGTACTTTAAACATTTTCCAGTGACTGTTTTATACACACAGGGCTTCAACGAGATCATTATAATACCCAAAGGTGACTCGATCGAGTTGAAGGGTATGCTAGGAGAAATGCTTGACAAGTTCATCAAGAAACTCAATTTCAAGATGGACTTTAACGAGATTGGCGGCCACATCAACAAGATGGCTAACGGCACATTTGGCGGTGTACTAGGGGCCATACAGCGCCGGGTAGGTAGCTCACATAGATAACTGCAAGAGAAAGTATAATATATTGCATTCATAATTTTCTTAGTTTTTGAATGCTGTTATACTTAATACATAATTTTTGGAAATATAATATATGTAATATCATTGCATTATTTGTTAAATGTAGATTATTAGCTACTTCACATATGTCCAGTCGCCCTCCTTGTGAATATTAATTATATGTTCTGTCTCCAGGAGTATGACATACTTTTGGGAAGTCTGTCAATGATCCCGGTGAGGACAGAGGTGATTGACTACTCTGAATGGTGGTGGATGTACAACACGCCCTTCTTTACTAAAGTTCCCAAAATCAAAGAGGACCAGTTTCTACTCTTCCAGATATATACCTGGCAGGTTTGTTTCTTTTTGTATATTGTGACTAGTAGAAGCGCTTATTCTGGAACAGTGATTCTCAACCTTTTCCGAAATCATTTAAGCTAAATATATTTTTTTATTTCATTTTTTTTTTTGGGGGGGGCTTCAGAAAATCACTCGCCCCACTTCAAATTTGTTCAGTTAGGCCTGTCGATTCCCTCTTAAAGTGAAGAGACCACTTCCAGCAATATAGTCGCTCCTTTCAATGGGTTCTGCTGTTGATGTGTTGTGAGGGGTGTTTGAGCCCTCATTTGAAAATTTTATTGTGCTTCATCTAGCAGGTGGAAGTTAGTCGAGGACCATGACACTTTCAAGATGAATGATGATAGTATAGCTACCAGCAAAAGAGAGCCAAATATGTAGAAACACACTAGTGGAAGACTTACCCGAAGATGTTACGCATGGGTTAAAGAATTAAACTCCTCTTCCGAGGCGCTTGTCTCACAAGCCCATTAACACGAGATTTAAGTGGAGAGGTAAGAAATGGGTCTTTTTCCTAAATCCACCTTCCATATCCTCTAGCTTCTAGAGAATGTACTATACTGTACTTTTTCTTTGCTCCGATTACCAATGAAGCAGTATGTGGACTATCCAAGGCGAAGTTATAATTGCAAACAGTATAGCCACATCAGCCGGAACTGTCGGAGGACGGCCAAATATAACCAGCGTGTATTTAGACACTACAGTCAGCAGCCACTTTACGGTAGTGCGTGTCGTCGGCCACTGTGTTGCTTCCACTGGCCATCAGGGCGGAGGAGAGGGTCAGCTTTACTGAAACAAATGTTGGTGTTTGTACAATTCATTCGCCTTGTTACCATCATAGCTCGCCACTCCATGCAACCAGCTAAACGCCAATATGTGAGCTCGTCTCCATGTGTCCCAATCCAGATTGCGCTCTCGTTGTTTGTGCCCCATAGCTGGACCATCGTCTACAGCGCACCCCTTAGTGGCTGTGTAGGCAAAAAATAGCTCAGCTGCAATGAGAAAGCCTTGAGGGCACTTTTCCGCTCAAGCCTCAGTTCTCAACATCACCGAGTGTCCCCATACACCATCTGTGGATCCTGTGATATCTACTTCAGGGGAGCTTAAAATTAAGACGTTACCGTAACACTAAACTCTAAACATGAACAAGAGTGTCCGCAAACAAATTTTCAAGGCCTCTAATGTGTTTCAATTCTAAGCCATGCCAAGAAACCGCACCAATTCCTTCTTGTCAAGAGGTACAGGGAAGACCATGATTGCCTTCACCTTCCCAGTAACTTGGGATACCTGACCTCTGCCCTCCACATTTCCAAGGTAAGTGATATGAGAGTGTCTAAACTCACTCTTGGGGAAGTAACCATAAAGTTGGCGGTAAACAGGGTGATAAACAACACTCGAAGTCGGTGTACGTGTTCCGACCAGGAATCACCTCAGATAACGAGGTCGTTCAGGTAGACCTGAACACCATGCAAGTCAGCCGTCATGTGATGCATCAGGCGCTGGAAGGTCCCAGGGGCATTCCTCATGCCGAACGGGAGAGCCACAAACTCTAAGAGTCCAGAAGGAATGACGAAAGCACAGACCGGCATCGCAGATCCTGCTTGGAGACATAGCGAACACTTCCCAGGTTGTCGATGATATCGTCCATCCTGGGAAGAAGAATGGAGTATGGCACGGTCACACTATTCACCTTCCGGTAGTCGACGCAAAGGCAAAATGTTCCACCAGACTTAGGGATCAGGACAACTGGCAATGCCCAAGAACTCAAGCTCAGACGGGTCAGGCCTTGCTCCTGTAATCGTTTCACCTCCACTTGCAGGAATTCCCTCTGCTCATTAATTGAGGCGATAAGGGACTTGCCGTATTGGATAGGTTACTCGGGTGTCCACGTCATATTGCAGTAAGGGGCAGAGACGAAATGTATCCCCATAGATGTCCAGATGCTCCCGTAGAAGACAAGTAATATCGGCCGCCTGGGTGGCAGGCAAGTGTACAAATTTATCATTGGGATCCATTAAGATTTCAGTATTAGACAATTTGGATCCAACAAAAAAAGGTTCATCATCACTTATATCATCCACTTCCTTGGCTGTTACCAGTGCTACATTATCTTGACTAATCTCATCCAACTCATCACTATCCCTAGCATAATACTTCTTCAAGAGTTTACATGAACATTACGCCCTTTCTTGCGTCCTCTCTGGGATTTCAGTGACATAATTAACATCCCCAACACGCTGTACCACACAATAAAGACCAGAGTACTGGGAATGAAGAGGTTGCTTTGGCAAGGGGACCAGGGCTAAAACCTGATCTCTTTCTTAAAAAAAGTTCGAAGCTGCACCTTATTAATTTTATCAAACGTATTTTTCATACTCTCCTAGGCTTTAGCCAAGTGTGCATGAGTAACTCTAACGGCTTCCTCTAGGTAGGTAGTAGGCAGCTATCAAACAGGAAGGTACTATCGCCTGGGAAGATATTGGAAGCATAGTGTGTTGTCAAATGGTAGACCAAGATACCATATGGCATCAAAAATTGTGACGAAGTCCCAGGTTGCTGATCTGACTGTCGACCTCATTTACACACAATTGCAGGGTTTCAATTGCTTCTTTTACTTTGACAATACAACATACATACTGTATATCGTTTCTCACTCTTGATTGTGTTTTCATTGTTGTATTTGTTTATTATTATTATTATTATTATTATTATTATTATTATTATTATTATTATTATTATTATTATTATTATTATTATTATTATTATTATTGTCATATCCCCCCCCCCCTCCCAGGCCCTGATGTGAGTCAATGACCTGTGCCTGGGTCGGCTAGTCCCTGTAAAAAAAAGTGTTACTTAAATATAAGAACATATGCAGCAATTGGAACAGCATCCTTCTCATTCAGGCAGCACTCGTTAAGGACCTTTAAGAGTCTCCTAACCTTCTGTACAGTCCCCTTCAATAATGTGTTTACAGGGGCTCGTCAGGTTTTGTGCAATGTGGCAAACCTGTGTTTGTTTACATTCGACAGAAGGAAACTCGAAATAGTAAACATACTATGGAATAAAATTAAAACGATATTAAAAAAAATATCTCAGAGATATTGATTTGTTGAATGTTTGTATGACGAGCCCCTGTAAACTCACTAGTGAAGGAGACTGTACACAAGTCAGTTGAAAATTAGTAAATCCTATACTTTCCTGTACACTGTCCCTCACAAAGAACAAAAAAATAATCACTGCCTTCATCCCAGACCTGACACGTCTCAAGAAAAAAGCTCTAATCATAGTTTTAAGGGTGTGGTGGAAGAGCTTTAAGAGTGGAAAGCCGTCGAACGACATTGGCGGACTCCCAAGGTTTTCATTACCTACCGAACAACTGAGAGGTAAAAGTTGACCTCTGATCCGACTAACCTAACTTGTGAGAAAAACTTGATCATGGCCCGAACAACACTCTTCGTGATAATATTCCAGAGGGGAATGGCCTCGGAATATCGGGAAGGAACATCAATGATGATTAGCAGGAATTGATGACCTCAACTAGTGTCTTGGTCAGCGGTCCAACACAATCTATGATTACTTTATTGAAAGGTTCTTCTACGATGGGGATCGGGTGAAGAGGAGCTGGTTTGGTGCCAGTTCCAGATTTACCTTTAACCTGGCAAATGTGACAGGACCTACAGTATAGTAGGAGCTAACATCTTGTTTAAGCTTTGGCCAGAAAAAATGAGAGAGAATCTTAGTGTATGTCTTATGTACAGACTCTTCCACTTCCAACTGGTGAAATTAGTGTTGTGTGAACTTCGGGAGTCTCGACTCTTGAACTAGAGGTATATACGAGCGAAGGAGAGAGGGAGGCAGGGGGAGGACTGAAGCCAGTGTGTGAGTAGGTGGCAGGGTAATGCGGAGGTTGAAGGTTGAGGAGGGTCCGAGTGAAGGGGGGTTAGAGGGGTGGGGAGAGTTAAGCAGTTACCTGTGCAGTTACAACACTGGATATATCAAGCAAGGATATAAATATGTAGGACAAAACACAAAGGTGAGTAGAATGTGTTACCCCACGTTCGGGTGATATTTCCAGCTTGTGCTACAGGTCTGAACGTTTTATGTATATTTATTGTCCAGAATTTACGAGTTAAGAACATAAGAACATAAGAAAATAAGGAGTCTGCAATAGGCCGGTTGGCCTGTGCATGGCAGCTCCTGTCGAGAGTTACTACCACTCTCTATCATCCATGAATCTATCTAGCCTCCTTTTGAAACTTTCCAGAGTTCCTGCACTTACTACAAAGTTGCTAAGCTTGTTCCACTCGTCCACCACCCTATTTGTGAACCAGTTTCTTCCTATCTCCCTCCTAAACCTAAACTTATCTAACTTGAATCCGTTGCTCCGAGTCCTATCCTGCTCGGATATTATAAGAACTTTATCTATATCCCCTTTATTGATTCCTTTCACCCACTTAAATACTTCTATCATATCTTCCCGCACTCTTCGTCTTTCTAGGGAATGCAAGTTAAGATTCTTTAACCTATCCTGATATGGAAGGTTTCGAAGTCCCGGAATCATTTTTGTCATTCTTCGCTGCACCGACTCCTGTGAATTTATATGCATTCTATAATAGGGGCACCAGAACTGAACCGCATAATCGAGGTGCGGCCTGACTAGCGCAAGATATAGTTCCCCTCCTCAAGTCGAGATCCCAAGTCGAAACTCCCGGGTTAACACTACACAGAGAAGGTGCATTGACAACGCAAATTGTACCAGTTGGAAGTGGAAGAGGCTGTACACCAAGGTGACAGCATACACCATCATGGGCGATACTAAGGAACTCTTGCCGTAAGGGCTTCAGAATGATTATCTGATGGACGGTCTCCCAGGGGTGATCTGCCTGGGCCATTAAGGGTCTAAATTTATGCATTTGCAGGCCAGACTTGAGATAAAAACAATTTGGGAAATCACGAGGTCAGACTGAGCAGTAAATACCTCCTGGGCTCTCCCA